GATGCTGGTATTGCTGAGTATTCTCACTCCTCACATCTTCCTACACACTGTCCCTGGAAGCCTCATCTATCACCGACAGGCAGTCAACACCGGATCTATATCCCCAAGCCAAAATCTCTCCTAGCCTCCTAATATCTACACCCAAATTTGCCATTGCTCCATGATGGATTTTTACCCTAGGGTCCCACATTAAATTTCTAATTCAAAGTGGCCATAAGGTATGTTTCTTTTCTTTTGAAGTTAACTTCACCCTTTCAACTCAATAAATTACAGGTAGCACCATTAATAAAATCATCACCAAAACCCCAGATGACATTCTTTATTCTTCCTTCTTTCATATATTCCCGCATGTCAGACCCTTGCACCTTTAGGTCTGACCCTAGTATCTCTACCAACCATTGCTTCTCTCTGTACTCATTGCCATTGATAAAACTTAGGTCCTAATCACCCCTCATTGTTGTAATAACCTTTGAATTCTCTAACTCTGATTCAATCAACACAGTGATGACTATGATCTTTCTAAATAGAAAACCCTTTATTAAAACAACAGTGAGGTATCACCTCACACCTGTCAGAATGGCTGTCATCAACAAATCATGAAACAAGTGTTGGCGAGGGTGTGGAGAAAAGGGGACTCTAATACACTGCTGGTGGGAATGCAGACTGGTGCAGCCACTATGGAAAACACTATGGTGTTACCTCAAAAAGTTAAAAATCGAACTGCCATTTGACCCAGTGATCCCACTTCTAGGAATATACCTTAAGAAGCCTGAAACACCAATCAGAAAGAATATATGCACTTTACAATAGCTAAGATCTGGAAACAGCTCAAGTGTCCAGCAATAGATGAATAGATAAAAAAGTTGTGGTACGTATACACAATGGAATACTATGCAGCTGTAAGAAAGAAAGATCTCTTATCCTTTGAAATGACATGGAGGGACCTTATCTTAAGCAATCAGAAAGACAAATACCACATGATCTCACTTATTTTCAGAATATAATGAATAAAACAAACTGATGAACAAAATAGACCCAGAGACATAGAAGTAGAGTACAGACTGACAAACCTCAAAAGAGAGAGTCGGGGGGAGGGGAGAGATAAACCACAAAACTTATATGCATGTAGGAATAAACAATGCTGGGGACAGGGAGGGTTGAGGAGGGGGTCAGGAAGAGGGTGTCAATGGGGGAAAAAGGAGAAACATCTGTAACAAAAATAAATTAATAGAAAATTTTAAAAATTAATAAATAAATAATCCTTTAATGGCTCCCAGTTGCCTTAGATCAGTGGTTCTAAACCATGGCTGGATAGCAGAATTATTTGGGGAGGTTTTTTTCAACCAACTTTATAAATGTACAGTTTATATATAATAAAGTGCACTCATTGTAAGTATATAGCTCGGTGGGTTTTAACACATGTACATATATGCCTATGTAATTGCCACCACAATCAAGATAGAAAAGATTTTCATCACCTCAAGAGGTTCTCATGTTCTTTTTTCTGTCAAACCTCCTAAACTCATTCTTCCCCAAAGAAACAATTCTAAGCAACTGATAAGAAAAATTCTGAAGTGTCCTAAATTTAATTACAGCTGGCCTGAGAATGGGGGAGAGACAAGGGAGGTTAACCAGTTAACCTCTGTGGGCGGTAACAAAAGACTATTTACATTCCTGGATGTAATCTTTGAAGCAACTTCAAGCTGGCTGTGTCAGCTTTTATCTAGAGGGAATAGCCGAAGACCAGAGCCCACCACATCTTGCTTATGCCAATCCAAAAGCAGCAAATACTTCTATCTTAAGGACTATGCACCTATCCTAGGACTGTCTCTTCACCTTTTCCCATCCCCATTATCTACAGCCAAAGTGAATTCTTTCAAAACAACTTACGTCTTTCTTCCCCAAACTCACTATAAGAGAACACTGATGGTTCCAGATGGTGGACATGTTTGGCTTCCCCATCTAGCTCAGCTGCTGGTGGTTTAGACCGCAGGCCCCAGAACTTGGTCCTTTTTCTGAATAGCATATGGCTCAATAAATCCTTTCTTTCAGAAAAGCTGTTAGCCATGAAAGTGTTTGTTTAACACAACCACGAGCATTCTATCAGTAAAAATTAGGCTTGGCTTTTCTAGAATTTCATATAAACTGAATCAGACAATATTTACCCTTTTGCATGTGGTTTCTTTTACTCAAGATAATATCTTTGAGATTCATCCACGGTGTGTGAATCAGTAATTTTTTCCCTTTTACTGTTGAATAGTATTCCATTGTATGAAATTATCAAAGTGTTATCCCTTCATTTGTTGATCAGTTGTTTCCAGTTTGGGGCTATTATGAGTAAAGTTTCTACGAACATTTGGGTACAAATATTTTTCTAGACATATATTTTTATTCCTCTTGGGTTCGTGCTTAAGAGTGGAAGTACTGGGTCTTATGATAACTGAATATTTAACTTTAGAAGAGACTGTCGAACTATTTTCCAAAGTGGTTATGCCATTCTCTATTCCTACCTGCATTGTAGGAGAGTTCCAGGCAAAAAGCCATGGCGCACAGAGTTCATCTTTCTTGTATCCCTTCTTTGGAATATGATAGATCTGTACTGCCTGTTACTCAATGTCTGAAAGCATTGTTTCATAATTTTGACTAGTGTTTTCACTGTTGGAAGTGGGATGGGAAGTCCAGTTCCAGGCACACTGTCATTGCCACAAGCAAAGTCCACTTGGAGAGCATCTTAAAAGATAGAATGCTTGAGTTCCACTACATACTAGTTAAATCTGAATACCTATGGAGGCGGGTAGTTCTAAAGTGCAGCAACAACTTTTCAGAATCACTGGCCCAGCGGTAAGGGTTAATCTCTTCACTAAGGCAAGATACTTCAGAATCTGTCCTAGTCTGCATCTGCAGTCTAGATCTGCACCCCCCACCCTGGCCGTATTTTGTCATTTCTCCTAAGCTTCAACCATATAGTAGTTTATCAACATGCACATGGTATTTCAAACCTATGCTTTTCCTTGTGCATTTTGGTCTACAGTCTACTGGAAGCATTTTTCCTTTAAGATTCAGCCAAAATGTCATTGGTGCTATAGGACATCAAAACGATCCAGGGATTTCTAGGGCGGAATGTTGTACTAAAACGAATATTGGGACAACAAATGCAAGGTTTACCGTCTGGAACTGCCATTTACAGCAGGGTGAGATTTACAGCAGGGTTTCCTCAGGCATAACACTCTACTAACAATAATTATCTGGCAGAGGAATAGATGAAATTACATATGGAATGTACCTAGCATGGTGCACATAGTAGTGACCAATAGAACACTTTCCTTCAAACCCCATATTCCACTCATTATGCGGCAGGATAGTAAGAAGCTAAGAAAATTCCTGGGCAAGTGGAATGGAGAAACTGAGACAAGAAAATTAAACAAAGCCCAACAGTTTGGGCAGCTTGTAGCCAATTTGTGAATCACAAGATCTTATCTTCCCCAATCAAGGACACTTGAGGGCAACATGGTTTATACCACTCCTCCCTAATCAGAGAATACATAGCTTAAATCAGCCTGGTCTAGGAAAATAGAGAACACAAACCCAATTAATGCCATTTGTGCCAGCTAAACCCAGACAGATAAAGTCTAGAGGACAAACAACAAAAGCCAAAAGCACTTAGATGGTATCACTTGGGGGTGGGGGTAATAGGCAGGAAAGATAACTTTCAAGACAAAATGGGAAGAGAGAAGAGGGAAAAGGGGGAGTTTTATTTCACCTACTAAACAAAGAAGCCAGCCACTTTAGGATTTGCCAAACAAGATGACCAGATGTATGTACAAACACTCAGACATAAGCCACAATAATGTAGAAGGGGACTTTGAAACCTAGTCTGCTACCCAAGATATCCAGCAGGGAGGTTTGAAACCTATAAGGGGAAAAGGTATAAAACCCTTACACTCCTGCTGGGCACTGCACTCAGTTGCTTGCTTGTGCTTTATGCCAAGTGTATTTTTTTTTTTTTATCCTCACCTGAGGACATTTTTTCCATTTATCTTGAGATACAAGGGGAAGAAGAGAAAGAATCATCCATGGGCTGCCACTCACAAGACCCCAACTGGGCCAGGGACTATTGCAACCGAGGTACGTGCCCTTAGCGGAAACCGACCCTGGGACTCTGGTCCGCAGGCGATGCTCTAACCGCTAAGCCGAACTGACTAGGGCACCAAGTATATTCTTGATAAACTCACTTGCTTTGCTTCAACACTGCTGTGTCATTCATCTGAAATCTTTCTTGCAAGACTGACAAGAGCTGAGGAGAGTACAGTCCCCCGCCCCCAAATCCGACTCAGGGGGTACTGTCTGGTAACAATAACATTTCCTGCAGGCGCTATTGCAAATTGCATTTTACAATCTGTTTATAACGTTCTTTTCCCCACTAGCTGGTGAGTTTAAATTGAGTGGAACTACTTTTTACCTTTGTATCCAGGGCGCATAAAAGTGCCTGGGATAAGACCAAGTTTAAGTAAACCGCAGATGAATGAGGAGGGTTTAGTAGTCTCCCGTTCTAATTGGAAAGTGCATTTATGATCTTCTTAATTCTCAACACCAATTCCCGTTTTGGGGCGACGTGCCACCAGCCCTTGGTAGGGAAGACGACATCATTTGAACAAGTCTAGAATAGTAAGGTGGCAGTTTTGCTCAGATAAACATCCAAAGGACATTCTCATTGTCGGGTTAAAAGCACCTGCAAGTTCACTCTGCCCCTCAGGAAGGCCTACAGCACTTCCCGGGGGAACAGAGGATCCGCAGAGCCTTCTCCGCGGAGAAATCCTCGGGGCCAATTCCCTCTACGGGAAAAGGGGTTGGGACAGGTTGGGTGGCACCAGAAAAGGTGGGCGCGCAGGCGCGCGAGGGGAAGCGGTGGCACGCTGGGACTGCCTCCCGCGGTTGCCGAGCAACCGGCCCGGAAGTTGCAGGAGGCACGTCGGCTGCCAGCGCCTGCGAGCGGGTCAAAGATGGCGGAAGGTGGCGACGCCGAGCCCGGCGAGCGCGAGCGAGCCTCTGGGCCGCGGCCCCCGAGCGCGCGGGACCTGCAGGTGCGGGGGGCGGCCGGGGCGGCGCGGGGGCGTGTGGCCGGCCTCTCCGGCCTCGGCGGCGTCTTCCCAGGTCGGATCTGGGCACAGACTTGGGACTCCGGGGCCGGAAGCCCCCAGGGTGGCACGGCGCACAGCGGGGGTCGTGGAAACCAGTGGCCGTTTCCCCTGTACCCCACTGGCAATTGAAGAAGTTCAGTTAGAGTGGCATTTTGTGGGGTCGGTGAGGGGTCCAGCGGTTGGTGCTTCAGGAGACTTGCGAGGAAAGCTTGACTGTGGCCGAGGGAAAATGAGCGATCACTTAAAAAGTAGTAACAGGTGTGCTGGTTTGATCTCTGTCGCGGATGCTGTTTCTGTCCTAGTGTCTTGTGCATAAAAATGGCTCTTTCTTAAAATCAGGGAGCTTTTCCCTTTTAAAGGGGTGGCTGAGGTTCTTCATCCCACGGCTGACTGCCGAGTTGTAGAAGCTGCCGTCCATGGAACATTGCCCCCAAGACGCGGGGAAACAAAACTGTATCCTGTTAGAGGACACCGACCTGAAGCAGCTACCGGATAGGAGTGCACCACGTTTAGCTTTATCAGATGCTTAACACTACTCTGCTCATTTGAGGCTTTTTTTTTTTTTTTTTTGGTCTGTCTCATAAGATCATTGATAAAATTCAACAAGTGACCATCCATGAGGAGCTATAATTAAACATAAGTGACACTGAATCCACAGCCTTGGTAGAAAAATTCTATTACTTTATAGTCACACTCTCCTCCTACTTCTCCGAAGGAACATATTGACCACCTGCCATGTAACATACAGCGGAGCTCTGGGAATGCTGAGATACCTAGGGCATCAGACCCACAGTTGGTGCTGGACACTGTTGAAAGGGATGAACGTGTAAAAAGACATTTCTGCCTATTTTTTGCAGAACTGAGATATGAATATATTTTACATAACATTTAATATGGCATATGATTGAGTGCCCAACAAAGCAGTGCATAAAATGAGGAATTAGGAGAACGGTGAGATCAGGTTAGGAGAGGAACTCAGTGTGGAATAGTTCCAGTACCCACAAGTCAGTTCAGTAGGAGGAAAGGGAATCAAGGAATAGGAAGCTACCATCTATCTACCTTCTTTTCTGCTGCAGACCACCCTCACTAAGAGGCAACATGGGAGGCTGGGAAAAATGGAGTTTGTGGTTAGACCAACTGAGGTTAGCATCTTGGTCCTACCACTTAGTAGTTGTGTGAACATAGAACTGTCTTAACCTCTCTCATCCTCATTGCCTTTATTTGTAAACTAGGTGTCATGAGTGAAATAAAATAAGGTCTGTTAAGTGCACAACTCCCATATTATCCTAGCCTGGTACTTGTTTGGTAAATATTTTGTTCTGTTTCTCTGAAAGGAGAAAAATACTGTAACGTTCACTGGCATTCTAATGCCATTCAAGTTAAAACTATGTAACTTAATATCCTTTCTTTAATTTAAATCCATTTCTCTTTATGTGAGCAATGAAAATCAGCAGTGATTATTGATCGCCTGATTCTTGGCAAATTTACCAAATGGATTAATACATGATTAATGATCAGAGATATTCTGGTAGATGCCACTAATTAATTCTGAGAATGCCTTCGTTTCCACCATCAATTAGAAGATAGGGTTTTTGCCTGGCTAGTGTAGCTCAGTGGCTGAGCATCGACCCATGCATCAAGAGGTTGCTAGTTCCATTCCCAGTCAGGGCATATGCCCAAGTCGTGGGCCTTATCTCCAGTGGGGGCATGCAGGAGGCAGCCAATTGATGTTCTCTGTCATCAGTGTTTCTGTTTCTATCTCTCTCTCCCTTCCTCTCTCTCTAAAATCAATAAAGAAAAAAATATTAAAAAGAAGATAGGGTTTTTATTTTTTGTTGTTTTTTATTTATGAATGAGTTGGTATATCAAATACACTAAGTATTGATAATCTTTCCTTTTAGAATGTAGTAAGAATGTGAAGAAATTGCAGAGAAACCTGAAAACAAGTGCTGACATATGAAGAAATAGAGTATGTATCAAAGGTTTAAAAGAATTGGATAATGTCCTTTTCCCTGACTGGTTTCATGGATACTGATTATGTTTGGATTATTTTAATTTTTTAATCTAGCCATGCTTAAGAGTTACCCAGTTAGTGCAGTTTTTGGTAGATACTTCTTACTTTTCTGACCGCTTGCTTTGAGAGTCTGTCACAGTATTATAGAGGAAAAGGGTGATACATTATTAATTGACCAAGCAAATGCACCCCTATGTGCTACATGTATCTTAGCTGCCACATAGGGCAGGGTTTGTCAGCACCTAAATCAGGAGAGATTTCCTAATTTCCCACAAGGGGAAAGATGGATAGTTGTCCCCCAGAAAAACCTTCCAGCACTATGAACTCTGACTTAAAACTGCGGAAATCTGTGGATATCAAACCAAGAGTAGACATCTGCTCCTTTCATCTCCCCAACTTGGGAAACATTCTCAGGGAAAGTTTGGGGCGGGTTTGTTAGTGACAGTACTAGCCCTAAAAACCTCAGTATTCATTATTTTCTAACATTTTCAGAGACTTGTAACTCTTCTGGTAGCCCTCAGTCCAGCCATACACCCAGGTTTAACACTAGATTAGGGTATTGAATTACCTTATGTATGCTTCTGTCCCAGTTTCCTCCAGAGTACTATCAAAAGAAAAAGCTTTCTATTTTTATTTATTTATTTATTTTTTATTAATTAATTTTTGTTATAGATGTTTCTCCTTTTTCTCCCCACTGATTCCCTCCTTCCGCTCCCTCCCTGCCCTGTCCATGTCCATTGTTCACGCACACATGCATATAAGTTCTGTGGTTTATCTCTCCCCCACCACCCCCTCTTCTGGGGATTGTCAGTCTGTACCCCACTTCCATGTCTCTGGGACTAGCCCCTTCCTCAGACTGTTATGTTCATTATATTCCACAAATAAGTGAGATCATATGATACTTGTCTTTCTCTGTTTGGCTTGTTTCACTTAGGATGATACTTTCCAGGTCCCTCCTTATAGTCTCAAAGGATAAGAGATCTTTCTTTCTTACAGCTGCATAGTACTCCATTGTGTATATGCACCACAGCTTTTTTATCCATTCTTCTACTGATGGACACTTGGGCTGTTTCCAGATCTTAGCTATTGTAAATAGTGCTGCTACAAACATGGGGGTACATATTTTCTTTCTGAATGGTGTTTTAGGCTTCTTAGGGTATATTCCTAGAAGTGGGATCACTGGGTCAAATGGAAGTTCAATTTTTAATTTTTTGATATAACACCATATTGTTTTCCATAGTGGCTGCACCAGTCTGCATTCCCACCAGCAGTGTACTAGAGTCCCCTTTTCTCCACACCCTCGCCAACCCTTGTTGTTTGATGATTTGTTGATGGCAGCCATTGCTTTCTATTTTTAATTCTGCATTTCTATATAGGTTGGAGTTGAGAAGAATTGGGGATAACTGTAGTACTTATTAGGGTTAGGACTGGGCTTTGGATGGAACAAAGAGGGAGTTCTATAAGTAAGAAAAGAATAAGATTGACTGATGCTATGTTACAGTTGCCACAAGTATCTTAATTCTGTTGGATATCAGTGTTCTCTATCATTGATTGTCAATTTTAGTGGTCATCAGAATCACCTGGAAGGCTTGTTAAAACACATATTGCTGGGTCCCACCTCAGAATTTCTTTAGATCTAAGGTGGGCTTGAGCATCTACATTTTTCGAGTTTCCCAGGTGATGCTGATGTTGTTATTCTATATAAAAAAAAATATGTAGTATACCTTTAGGTTTTTGTCACTCTAAGACTGAGAATTTCATTACTTTTATTTTTTATTTAATTTATTTATTTTTAAATATATTTTATTGATTTTTTTAGAGAGAGAGAAAGGGAGAGTGAGAGAGAGAAACATCGAAGAGAGAGAAACATTGATTGGTTGCCTCCTGCACGCCTGCCACTGGGGATGGATCCCGAAACCCTGGCATGTGCCCTGACTAGGAACCAAACCAGTGACCTTTTGGTCCATAGGTCGACGTTCAACCGCTGGACTACATTGGCTGGGCTGAGAATTTCAGCACTTTTAATCTTTCGTTGTATACTTGATTTTCTCACTACCAATAACTTTACCTTCAGGTTTCTCTTCATGTTCTTCACATTGCAAATTCTAGACAAACGATTATCAGTGCTTACATACTTTATTCTCTCTGTATTTGAAATATCTTCATAATCTAATTGTTTCGGTTATAGAATACTCCATCTTGATAATCCATAATACATCGTTACTCACAATACACATTTATCTCATTATTTGACTGAGATTTTTTTTGTTGTCATTTGTTTTGTTGAGTTTGACTAGTACTTCACTTTCATTTGATCAGTTTAAATAATTATTTCCTCTGCTGAGATGATGTCATTTGTTGGGTCAAATAATATAAATTAAATTTCTTTGAATACTTACTAATGAACTTAGGCCTTGTGATACTGCAGGGATATCATGAGTTCTGGCATTAATTCTCTTTGAATACCATTCATTTTCTTCTAAGTTAATGATATACCATTAATAGCCAGGACCTTTCGGATGGGTGGACTCCTTACTGTTATATAATTTTCTCCATATTGCTATTTTGTTAATATATATTTCACATTTCATGGAGTTGAAAGGCCTTGTTTGTTGTATTCATTTATTTCACAGACGAAAATTAGTTGATTGACAGGATTTATTCAATTCTTCAAGTAAAAACCTAACAAGATATAATCTCAATTTTCTGTTTATGATTTATGTTGTGTTGTAGTCTACATAATTCAACATGAATTTGTTGGGTGCCTATTAAATACTATATTAGAAACAATTTTGGAAACCTAAAGTATAGCCAGGGAGATAAAATAGTAAGAAAAGTATACAAGTAATATCAATATTATGTTTAATATAAATTTCAGTGATAAAGTGGCATATGCTATGAGGATTTAGAAAAAAATATCAGTTAAGAAATTAGGAAAGGCTTCGTGAGGGATGGCTAAATGAGCCTTTGAAATACAGATAAGAGTTCATTGATGGGAAGAGGAATAGCATAGAAGTAATCCATAGAGCCAGAATGATAGATCAGAAAGAAATCCATGAAGGAATACTCTTTTGAAGAGATTTCAGGGAGGTAAGATTTCCAAAAACTTGGGGCCCAAGTTTTCAGTCAGAGTGTCTGTCTCTGTTCCTGACTCTGTCTCTCTGTCTCTCACTCTCTTATTTTTGTTGTTTTTAAGGGCTAAAGTAGGAAAAGGCTGTGGATGATATATAAATAACACTGAAAGAAGAAAAGAAATCTTGGGGAAAATGAAACCCTGATGTAATTACTATTAAACATTTTAAAATAGTGTCTTCTAGTAATGGGGCACTTGTCTTTTGTTTCATATACACTATGTATTCTATAAAACAACCCTCTAAGGTAATACTCTAATAGACATTTAAAGATGAGGGAACTAGCACTCAGAGAAATTAAAAAATTTGCCCAATGTCATGAGAACCTAAATTAGGATTTAATTCAGTTCTTTTAGATTACAAAGCACTTTTATAATTAGGATGTGTAGCTAAATTGCTGTCAGAAAAATGAAAGTTGATGTGTATGGGAGGAGGATGAGGGTAAAAATTTCGGGAGGAACAATAAAACCTTTCATTTTTATTTTCTTGTGTGTATATTTTTAAAGTTTACTAATAGAATCTTCAAAGAATTAACTTTGCCCCAATTCCCTGTTCTTCTTTTCCTTGAGGAAAGAAGCCCTGGAGGTATTTTTCTTATCTCTGGTGTTTCTAGAATGAGCACCTTATCTGGGATTTTTGGGGGTGGGGGTGGTTTTGTTTTTTTACCCCCAAAGATTATAGCCATGCCAATTATAATTGAGTAGCCACAAGTAGCATTAAGGAAGGTTTTTGAGTTATTGTCCAAAGTTATCAAAAGTGGGAACAAAATAAATACTGAAATATTTAGTTAACTTTTTAAAATTTTAATTTCAAGAACTATCTTTTGTTTATTTCCTTTTGAAGGTAGTCAGCCATATATCTATAATGCATACTTCAGTATTGCTTTCTAAAAGTTATACAAACCATGTATGTAATTCATTGTCTTTTATTTTTTTAGCAGCTCATTTTCCTAAACTTTATGAAACATATGTCTGGTAGACTTTTAAAAATAATAATTTTGAAGTTGTTTTGTGTGTTTGGATTTTGAAAACTTGAACAGCTAAATGAAACAATTTTTGAGGTCTGATGAGAGCAAATGGTGAAACATCTATAGATGTTAAAAGGATTATAGAATTTAGGCTCAACTTTGAAAATGATCTATTACCAGATACTGTTTTTGAAACTGTTGAATCATTACTTGAAAATAATTATTGTAACTTTAATTTATTAGAATATATGTGACATTTTGGTTAGTTTTATAAAGTGAGACATGCAGTGATTTATTTTGGAAGGGAGTCATCTTCTGAAGCAGAAGCCTTAATTTTTCATGGGAAACCTTTACTATTCAATTACAAGTTAATGTTCTACTCATAATTTCTAGTTGTGTAGAAGAGTTTATTTCTAGTGCTATACTGTATAACAAATTTTATAGTTGGCCTTGGCAGAATTATACGAAGATGAAGTGAAATGCAAATCTTCCAAATCTGATAGACCTAAAGCTTCAATCTTTAAAAGTCCACGAACACCACCTCAAAGGTAAGTTTTTAAAAATTGTATCCCTTTTTGGTTCACTAATCCCAAATTATTTTAATGGCCTTGGAAATTCTTTTAAAAATTTATAATTTCTTAAATATTATTTAAGTACTATTTCTAAAACTGTAATAGTCAGAAAACTAGAAGAAACTTATGGATATATAATCTTAAATACCTAATATTTTGGTAAACAACATAGAATTATATGCTGAATAAGTGTTTTTCTGGGGCACAGTGATTCTTTGTTGAGTCACAGGACTCACTGAGGATTTGATGAATGCTATGTCTCCTCTCCTCTCAAAACAACATGTATGCACAATTTGTCAATCATTTTTAAGGTTTGAGTGTTTCTTAAAGCCCATCCATGGAGCTCCCTATGTATCTATTGTCCTCCATTTAAGAATCTGTAAGCCCTGGCCAGTTTGGCTCAGCGGTTGAACGTCGGTCTGCAGACCAGAGAGTCCTGGGTTCGGTTCTCGCTAGGTACACGTACCACAAAAAAATAAAAATAAAATAATTTTGCCCTGTCCGGTTTGGCTCAGCGGTTAGAGCGTCGGACTGCGGTCCGGAGAGACCTGGGTTCGGTTCCCGCTAAGGGCATGTACCTTGGTTGCAGTTTGTCCCCAGCCCTGGTTGGGTCGTGTGGGTGGCAACCACTCGATGTGTCGCTTTCACATCGATGTTTCTCTCTCTCTCTCTCCCTCTCACTCTATCTGAACAAAATATCGAAAAATGTCCTCGGGTGAGGATTAAAAAAAAAAAAGAAAAAAAAAAAGAATCTGTAACTTCAGGAATCTGTCTTTGCTTCTCCTGGGTGAATATTCTATATAATAAGTGATCTCCTGGATAGTATTTACTATTGTTAAATTCCCTGAACTATAAAAAGAACCAACGTGAGGATGTAAGAGATGGGAGCCAGGTGTATTTTATTGCCACAAGTTTTCTTGTTTCCAGGAATCTTCATTAATGTCTTCACATTACTGGGGAGAAACTTGAATTTTCCCATTATATCTCATTCTCAAAAAGTCTGTTATTTTACCAAAAGCTGAACAATTTACTTAAATTTGGGTTTTATTTTTTTGTTTTTGTTTTTTGTTGCTACTACACATCCTTTCTTTCTGTAGGGCAGATAAAAATGATATATCTTTCTGGACCTAAATGAGAAGAAAGAATAATATTTATAATTTTCCCCCAACTTTTTATTTTATAGATTTTCAAACCCATAGATAATCAAAAGATTAGTACCATGAATATATGCTGTATGTGCTTCACCAGTTATTAATGTGCGTCAGCATTACATTCTTGCAAGCGCTCTCTTTTACTCAACTATTTGAAAGTAAATTCAAATAAGCACATGCTCCTTTATAACCTTGATAACATATCACACCTTTTGAATGGTGATTTCATTAAATCAATTAATATATAGCCCATAGTGAGATACGTCTTAGAGCCGAGAGCCTTGCATTCTATTTGATTTTGCTTGTTTGAAATCTGAATCTAGAGCATTCCCCTCACCTTTTTGTTTGCTTTTAGCTCATCTGTATAATCTTACATTGACTTCTGCGAAGAGTCTCGGCCAGATGTATTATAAAATGCCTCACATTCAAGGTTATTTTTTCTTCATGATTAGATTCTTAAACTTATTTGTTAAGAATACTAGTAAGTGATATTGTTTGCTATTTATTATATGACATCAGGAGCCATATGATTTCAGGTTTTCCCACTATTGGTGATATGTTCACTTGGTTAAGGTGCTAACCACCACATCACTCCATTGTAAGGTAGTTTTTCCTTTGTAATATGAAGGTTAGTATCTTGGCACTATTTAAATGTTCTGTCCTTTCATTTCAGATTTGACATATATGTATCTATATACATGCACACATATATAATATCTATATTATATATTTTAACTGCTTCCTTAATTTATACATTCTCCAAAGTTTTAAAAATATTTAAATATTTATATACTGAACTTTTACTCTGTTGACCCATTGTTTCTTCAATTTGAGCATATTTTGAATGACTTAATTTATTCATAATATAACATATCAAAATATTTGACTTCTTATAAGATTATTAATATTTCCCTTGCTGTTCATATATAATCATTAAGCTACTTTAATGAGTCTGGCCAGTGTGGCTCAGTGGTTGAGCATCGTCCCATGCACCAAGAGGTTGCCATTTCAATTCCCTGTCAGGACACATGCCTGGGTTGTGGGCTCAATCCCCTTTAGGGGCTGTGCAGGAGGCAGCTGGTTGATGTATTGCTCTCATATCAATGTTTCTCTCTCTGCCTCTCTCAAAAAATCAGTCAAAAATCTTTACCAAAAAAAATGGTGAGGGGGCCTTGAAAAGGAACCAACAGTACTTCTGTGGCAAATAAGGTTGGATAGGTGGAGCGCTTCTATGGACATGTGACCTGTGCAGTAGGGCCCATGCTTGGTTTAATGCTTTGCTGTTACTCTCTTGAATTTCTTAATAAATTTTGAACAAGGAGACTCACATTTTCACTTCACACTGGACCACACCCATAGACTAGTAGCCCTTCCCGAATACAGGCACATCATAGGCAGCCTTGAAAGCCAAAGAGAGTTGCACTTGTGTAGAAGGCAGTGGAGGCCAGTATATGTTTGTCTGGTTTTCTATGCAGGAGGCTTTTTCATAGGAGAAGACAACTTAGTCCTCCCAGAAGGCAAACCCTCCACTCTGCTTTATGAGGCAGATAGCAACTCCAAACCACGGACAGGTTGGGACCTGCTCAGGCTTCAATCAGTATATATTTTTTAATGTAAATGTTGTGATAAAACTATAGTATAGTAATAAAAATTTTTATTCTAGAGGTTTGCACCCCTCAATTATAATTTTTTTCTATGTTTTGCCAATAGAAATGTTTTTGAAATTCCCTAAGCTTCAGTGTACTTATCTGTAAAATGGGGATAATACCATTCTTATGAGGGTCATATGTGCACAAACCCCCTTGATAAATGTGAGCTACTATTATTATATACTTTTAGGGAAATACAATATAAAAGTAATAATGATGGGGAGAACAGAATCAGGCGACAGATCAAGATGAAAACAATTGGGATAATCTAAGGAATGTAAAATTTTGGATTTGGATGGCGTCAGTGGAATGGAGGAGAAAGGGTGAAACTGAGGTAGGGTGCTTTCAAAAAACATTGTTGAAACTAGACGACATGGGATATAGGGAGTGAATGGTAAAGACAAGTGTTAAAGGTTCTTATTCTGATGTTCAGAAAAACATGTAATTGTTAGTGGGAAGATTTATGTGGAAATTTTATAGGTTTAGTTTTGGAGAGATGAACTTGATTCAAGCAGGGGCTTTACTTTTTTAGTCCTCACCCGAGGACTTTTTTTTATATTTTGTTTAGATAGAGTGGGAGGGAGGAAGGGGGAGAGAGAGAGACATTGATGTGAAAGGGACACATTGTCTGGCTGCCACCCACAGGACCCCACCAGGGCCAGGAACAAAGTGCAACCGAGGTACATGCCCTTGGCCGGAATCGAACCTGGGACTCTCTGGTCCACGGGCTGACGCTCCAACCGCTGAGCCAAACCAGCCGGGGCTCAAGTAGGGGCTTTTAAATTCAGCACTGGACTATAAGTAAGAGGGTGCTGGAAACATATATTTGAGAGCCATCTTCATAGAGAGGTTGTTACTTATGGGAGTGGACCAATACGTTGATGATTAGATGACTTTAAGTGGAGAATGAGAGTCAAAGGTATAGTCATACTTCAGTACACAAGAGGAAAATGGGTGAATTGTGGATCTAAATATACAAGAAAACAAAACTTATAGAGGAAAATAGAGTCACTTCATGATTTTAAAGTAACGATTTCTTAAACAGGTAATAAAAAGTATTAATCTTAAAGGAGCCAGTAAATCTTTTCTGATGTCTGGCTTTCCAGGGAGGTCTTTCTCCCCAATACCGAGATAAAAAGGAACTGAGAGACGTGGAGTAGGAGCGAGGGACCTACAGCAGGTGATAGGCACACCCAGAAGCTTTTCTTTTCTCCTCCTTCCCTTTCCCTTTCTTCTCTCTTCCTCTTCTTTTCTTCCCCTTTCTTTTTTTATTTTTTAAATCATTTTCTTTCCCTTTTTCTTTCTCTTCCTCTCTCATAGCTACCTAAAATCATCTGCTGTCCAGCTCCTAATACTAACACTTGTCTTATGTATGGTGCCAGGTGGGTACCTGAAATATTGGGGGATCACTTTGTAAAGTATATGATTGTCTAGCCACTATGCTATGCACCTGAAACTAATACAAAATAATGTTGAATATAAACTGTAATTTAAAAATAAAATTTGAAAGAAAAGAGCCAGCTGTGGCAGCATATGGACCCCCAGTAAAAGCTTGGCAGAGAGGCTCCCATCGGCTCCTGCTCTGGGTAACCTGGGCCTCACAGTATTCACCAGAGCTCTAGCAGGATGGGGGCAGCCCCACCTCCACTTCTGCCCTCTCCCTCAGCAGGTAGTCGTGAGCCAGCCTTACGTGAGCTTGTGTTAGTGAGCACCGCTTGCTGGTGTCCACTTGTCCTCCAGGCGGATTTTTTCTTCACTTACAGTAAATTGAAAGCTGGTCTGCCCTTCCTTCTTTCTGTTCGTTTTGCACATGCTAATTTTTGAGAAAGTATTGAAGGTGACCTCCACTGTTCATCTCTAGTGCTGATGTTATTTGTCCACTTCCTTTTGTTTTGTGAGTCAGTTCAGGGAAAATATGAAACTGGTTTGGAGGGAATGGGTAGCTAAAAACATGAGCGCTGATTGTCATCAGATATGGGAAGTCTCCATGTTGACATGTCATTGGTTATATTTTGTTATTCTTGATTGAAAAACACCTTTGAAGATAGAATAGGATACTAGTGAAAGGCAATTCTTTTTTTTTTTATCCTCACCTGAGGACATTTTTCCATTTTTTGTTCAGATAGAGTGGGAGGGAGAGAGAGGAAGAGAGAGAGAGAAACATCTATGTGAAAGGGACACATCCAGTGGCTGCCACCCACATGACCAACCAGGGCCGGGGACAAACTGCAACCGAAGTACGTGCCCTTAGCGGGAACCGAACCCCGGTCTCTGTGGACCGCAGGCTGATGCTCTAACCGCTGAGCCAAACCGGCCAGGGCTGAAAGGCAATTCTTATGTTCTGGAAGACCATTATGAAGTTGGAGTGAGAGTAGAAATCAGTTTCTACATAGTTAATACACTGAAAAACTTTTTTGTGGTCTAAATTATTTACCTTTAACATGGGGTTTTAATTTTTCAGTCAAGAAAACTCGGAGTAAAACCTTTATATGTAGCTCTGCAGTCTAGATTTAAGTGTTCACACTGACTCTAGAGGTCTCTTCACTAACTAGGCCCCTACTAAGTGTGGACTCCTCAGCTCTTCTTTCCCCCACACTCCAAAAGTGCATTTGATAAGCGATTGCCGAGGGTGCGAGGAAGAAACAAGCCAGTTCTCATGCCACGTGCTGAGCTTGCTACAAGAATCTCCCCAAACTCCATGAGAAACTGTGTGAACTGTTCACTCTTTAATTCCTTGATCCTATTTTTTAAAGTAAATATTTCCACAGAAATTATTCTTTTTACATAAAAGTTATTTTCTAAGACAGTAGTTTTTTTACTTCAAAGTAGTTTATGCTAAGTTGTTATTCATGAACTGTAATATTTAAAGGTTCTGTTCAAGGGAACATGAATACAGTGGATTGCATATAGTTCGACCTTCAACTGGGAAAATTGTGAATGAACTTTTCAAAGAGGCAAAGGAACATGGGGCTGTCCCTCTGCATGAAGCCACAAGAGCTTCAGGTGATGACAAGTCTAAGGTAAATGCTCAATTTCAAAACTAAGTATGCTACTTATATATTTGATCTCCTCTGTAGTTTTAAAATTGATTTGAGAGAGAGAGAAACAGCAGTTTGTTGTTCCACTTATTTATGCATTCATTGGTTGACTTTTGTATGTGCCCTGATCGTGGATCAAACCCACAACCTTGGCGTATCGGAATGACATGCTAACAAACTGAGCTACCCGGCCAGGGCTATAGTTTTTTATATTACTAAATAGCATTTTTTTTTCTAACTGTATATATATATTTTTTAAATATTTGATTCATTTTTATAAGATTATAGTCTTTTTATTAATGATTGAAAATTGAGGCAGTGTCTTACATTTTTATACAATTTCTCTATTTACCTTTTTATATTGAAATAGTTATAGACTCACAAGAATTTGCTAAAAGTATACAGAGAGGTCTTGTGTACCTTTCAACCAGTTTCCCCCAATACATTAATGGCTATTTGCAGTTTCCTAATGGCCTGTAAGGTTGAACATATCATGTGCTATTTGCTACTATCTTTATTATCCTCTTTAGTATAAAAAAATCTCTTCATGGCTTTGGCCCATTTTTAAATTGGATTGTTTTGTTACAAACAAAATTGGTTGAGAGTTCTTTATTTTAAAAGCTATGTGTTCTTTGTACGATGTATTTCTTGTATATATTTTCTCCTAGATTGTAGCTTTTCTTTTCATTCTCTTCCCAGGGTTTTTCATAGAGCAAAAGTTTTAAATTTTGATAAAGTCCAATTTATCTTTTTTTTTTTTAATGAATTATGCTTTTACTATTTTGTCTAAGAACTCTTCACCCAACTTTGTCCCAAAGATTTTCTCTTTGTTACTAGAAAAGTTTTATAGTTTTCCATTTAATCCTCTGACCCATTTTGAGTTAATTTTACGTAAAGTTTGAAGTCAAAGTTCGTATTTCAACTTATGGAGGACCATTTGCTCCACCATTGTTGAAAAGGCTCTTTTTCCTTCATTGGATTATTTTTGTACCTTCAAGTTTTACAAAATTTTATAGACACAGAATTGGTATAGTAAAGAAAAGTGTGTTTTTGTATATAATTGCCATATGTTCGTTCTTGTAATTAATATTTCTGATCCTGATTTTCCGTATCAAATCATTTTGGGGAGGTTTTCTAAGTTACCACATGGTCTCAGGTGTTCCAGTTCAGTAGCTCCCAGGTGTTCCTGGACATGTATCATCATGACAGGCAGCCACTGTGCAGAACCACTATTCCAAATGAAACATAAATTTTAGTTTTCACTATTTACCAATAGCTTCAAATTCTTATTTAGTCAAATCTAAGGTGATTTTGGTTCTTGCAGGTTCCCTAATTCTGTAAGAAAAATGTGGAATTGATATAATTTAGTCTATAGAAAAGGAAGCAGTGTGATACTTAAAAGCTCATTGATACTATAAATGGTGGTTAAAAGGAATGGAGTTTTTAACCTCATAAGCTGTCCTACCTGAAAAACAGAAGATCATAGTTGATTTGTTAAAGTTGAATAAAAAGTGGCTTATAAAATACGTATAGAGCTTTTCTTTGGCAAAATTTATACCCATTTATAATATTTTTCTTTATAAATCTCTTATTTGTGAAATATAATTTAAACATTATAATTTTTATTATAAGTTGTCATAAAATATTAGTGGTGGCTTTTTAAAATCTGTTTATACTTGAAAATACGTATTTCAGTGTGATAAATGCATTTCTTAGTTTAAGATTGGACTAAATTATTTCCATTCCTGAATTACAAATGTTTTTATGGGAAGAAACATTATTTATTCATTTATTTATTTATTTTAAATCCTCACCTGAACCCTGGCCAGTTTGGCTCAGCAGTTAGAACGTCAGCCTGTAGTCCAGAGAGACCTGGGTTTGGTTCCTGCTAAGGGCGCGTACCTCAGTTGCAGTTTGTCCCCGGCCCTGGTTGGTCGTGCAGGTGGCAGCCACTCGATGTGCCCCTTTCACGTCGATGTCTCTCTGTCTCTCTCTCTCTCTGTCTCTCTCTCTCCTGCTCTCTCTCCCTCCCACTGTATATGAACAGAAAATGGAAAAATATCCTTGGGTGAGGATATAAATAAATAAACAAACAAACAAACAAGCAAGCAAACTCTCACCTCAGGATATGTTTTTATTAATTTGAGAAGAGAGAGAGAGAGAAACATTAATATGAGAGAGAAATATCAGTTGCCTCCTGTATGCGCCCCCAACTGGATATTAGACCCGCAATCTGCATATGTGCCCTGACTGAACATCAAACCCATGACCTTCTGATATACAGGTTAACGCTCCAGCCAGTTGATTCATACCAGCCAGGGCAAGAAACATAATTTTTTACTTGACTATACTTCTCTGTAACATAAGACTTTAATGTTAATGTAATATTTTCCTAGAAAATACAAACAAGTTTGATTAATTACAGTTAATCTAGTTTTAAAATATATATCACACATCATTTTGATTAATAAGCTTAGTGAATTTGATTAATAAGCCTTAAGCTCACTTGCTGTCTATTTTAGTCATTTACAGGTGGAGGATACAGATTGGGTAATTCCTTTTGCAAGCGGTCTGAATACATCTATGGAGAAAATCAGCTACAAGATGTAGGTACAGTAATCAAAATGAAAAATTATAGATATTTACCTCTAGTTACTACTGTCTGTTTTAAAATTAAAAATTGGTAATATAAATATAATCTTTTCTTAATTTGTGAAACATGGATTAATTAAAAGGCCTAATGTATAAATTTTCAGTCTCATATTTTATATTTTGTATCCCAACTGTGCCTTGCACTTAGAGATGCATAAATATTTGTTGAAATAATGTATGATTCACTGTAAAATGAGCTTACATATGTATGATAACTATTATTTAAATGGTGTACTCTCATAATATAGAATGAACTGAGTTGTAAACATAGAGACACCTAACGTCATTATTTCTGTTACCTATATTGAAGTTTTGGAGTGATAACTTTATTTTAAATATGTGTAATTTAGCCTTGAAGGGTCACTGGGAATTCTGTCTTGCTCCTTCAAATGAACATTTAAGTTCTGTAGCAGAAAATATGGGCACAGAAGGAAAAGGGTGGGTGTGGAGTGGCAACTGGATGCTTTCATTGTTTTTGTTTTCTCAATGAACTGGAAATAATTTTACTTGAGGCCAGGGTCCAGGTGTGGGACCTTTGGTATTTCAGCCATTGTATATTTGTTAAGCTAAATACAGATCTGCTCAGTGAACATATAAGATTTCACCTATGTCTTTATTTTAACTGTGAATAAGAATAGTACAAATAGCTCCATTTTTTTTTCTTTTTTTAATCCTCACCCAAAGATATTTTTCCATTGATTTTCTAGATAGAGTGGAAGGGATGAAAAGAGGAGGAGAGAGAGAAACATCCATCAATGTGAAAGAGACACATCAGTTGGTTGCCTCCCACATGACCCCCATTGGGAATCGAGCCCAAAATCTGGGTATGTGCCCTGACCAGGAATTGAACTGGGACCTCTCAGTCCAAGGGCTGACACTCAATCCACTGAGCCACACCGGCCGAGCCATATTTTAAATTAAGTAAATGGTTTAATAGGTTGTGTAATATCATATATAAAATTTAAAATTTTTTATGTAGATGGATTTTTTAAAATTTTCTTTGTTTTTCTTTTTCTATTCCCAAAAGGTTCAGATTTTGCTTAAATTGTGGAGCAATGGTTTCAGTTTAGATGATGGAGAATTGAGACCTTACGATGACCCAACAAATGCTCAATTTCTGGAGTCTGTTAAAAGAGGGTAAGCTGTATTATTTGTGTTCTATTTGTCACTTAGGGTGGGACTTTTTTTTTTTTTTAGCAGAACGCCGTTCATCAGGACACTACTGGTTTTCAAGGGTTATATGATGTAAGTGGTTCCTGGGGAAGGGTGTTCCTAAGTATACAAAGGACACATTGTTGTCTGTAATTACTCATTTTCACCTGTTGGGGGGTGGGAATGCAGTAAGACATTGGTCTCTAAAAATCTGATGAAGCTGTGGTCCCAGCTCTAAGAAGAAACATCTCATTGTAATAAATCAGTGAATTAAATAGCATGTAGTTGCTCATCCACTAAGCCACTGTCCTGCTTACTGTTGACAGGGTGACTCTCATTGTATGTATGCCTGAAATTCAGCAACTTATATTAGAAATCTTTTAAAGTGGCATTACTGCTGACAGAAGATTTCAAAAGGTTAGTTTGAAATTATAATTTATGAAATTAAACTGATACTCTGACCCATCTAAAGAACATCATAACTCACTAGCCCTTCTTGCTGAAGGATAAGATACTTTGCTGAGATATTGGTGATGAACGGAGAGATTTAAGTAGCAGTGAAGGGACTGGAGTCAGAGGTTATACTCCACCCAGGAATTGAAGGTGGTGCTTGTCCAAGGAGAGTGGCTAAAGTGGAGTGGAGATGAAATCCTTTGGAGTTGAGATAGTGAAGGAACTTTGAAGAAAATGTTAGAATTTTAAATTTGAATTAATCAAAGACAATGTCAGGATACCAAGAAAAGGCAAGAAATGCTGTAAGGGTTGTACTGAAGTCATTGAGAGAAGTTGGAAGGCTGTCCTGGGAGGCAGTATATGCTGAATGGTAAATACCTGGATATAATAGCCTAAGTCAATGCTGTGGACTTGGAACTCTGCAGAGTCACTGGGAAGAGCTGGGAGTGACTGAGTAGGGACAGTGTTCATCTGCTAAGTGAAGATCACTAGTACTGTTGAAATGGATGCTTATTTCAAGCTGGTAGAAGAAAAGAACATATTGATGAAGAGTATACTATAATATAGATCAAAACTAATTTGTTTAAGGAAAATAACCTATAAACTTTGTAGGCTACTGTTCACACAATCATGATTAAATGTTTGTTTGTTTTTTTATTTGATTTACACCATATCCTTAAAAAAATTGATATCAAGAACAGTTTTAGAAAAGACTAGTTGAAAACAGTGATTGATGTCAAATAGTGACTGTCAGCTATGAACTGTTGTCCCTCTTTTATAACAAATAGTTTATAACATCATCTTCACTATCTTCAAAGAAAAATTCCTAAGTAATATAATCTATTTATGCATATTATTTCTGAAAAATTAATGTAAATTTTATCTTAAAAATAGAGGGAATAAGCCCTGGCCAGTTTGGCTCAGCGGTTACAGCATTGGCCTGCAGTCCAGAGAGACCTGGGTTCGGTTCCCGCTAAGGGCATGTACCTCGGTTGCAGTTTGTCCCCGGCTCTGGTTGGGTTGTGTGGGTGGCAACCACTCAATGTGTCCCTTTCATGTCGATGTTTCTCTCTCTCTCTTCCTCTCTCTCCCTCCCACTCTATCTGAACAAAAAATGGAAAAATGTCCTCGGGTGAGGATTAAAAAAAAAAATTAGAGGGAATAAAAAAAGTAATTTATCACAAAATTATACATATTTCAATTTCTGAATGCCTGGGTATGACCACACCAGAAGATACAACAGCAGTCAGATACCTTGCACCTATGTGCAGTCTGGCACTTATATAAATGTGACAGACATAAAAACAGAATAAAGAGATATGTGAAGTCGGCAGCCTCATCACTATAAGTGGCAGTGCAGTCAGTGACTTGGTCAAGTTCCAAACAAAACAAGGTGCAGTCCTCTCTGTTTATATAGAAGATGGAAATTTCAAAGCATATTAGTGCAGTACCAAACAAAAAACAGTTTTTGAGTTTTTTCTTCTATGTAAGACAGAGCCTAAGCCTTAAGTTTTAGGCTTGGACATGACAAACAGTGTCGCTAGTCGTCATATGACTCTCTGGCAGGGCATTCAGTGGTTCTGTGGAACCCGAGACAAGTCTTCATTGTGCGTGTTGATTCCCCCATGCCAAGAGCATCGTTCATCCCCTGCCCTGACTGAGCAGCAGCACTCAGGAAACACACAACAATCAAAAACACCCCTGTCATTGTGAAAAACCTCCTCCAATAGTTTGGAAAGAAATATTTGCATTAACTGTTATGTCCTCATAGGAAGTTTCTGGTGTTAATTTAGGTAAGAATTGCTGTCTTACAATTTGTCAGAAGCACTCTAAGGTTACTATGACAACAAAAAATACTTATGTTGAGAATTACTAAGGAACAGTGTGATGCAACTTTGAGAAAGAAATATCTACATAAATATCTGTAGAGGAAGTATCAATCATCACAGAAATTTTTATATTACAATTTATGCAAAAATTGTGGTTTTTCAGTGTTTCTTACAACTTGATTATATTCATCTTAACAGTATAGATTCTTTTTTTTCCCAAAAGTTAACTGAAACCTTTTTCCCCCTTTTAAAAGAGAAATTCCCCTGGAGCTCCAGCGACTGGTTCATGGTGGCCAAGTGAACTTGGATATGGAGGATCGTCAGGATCAAGAATACATTAAACCCAGACTGAGGTTCAAGGCTTTTAGTGGAGAAGGACAAAAACTTGGAAGGTAGTCTCCTAAAATGAGAAAAAATACTTGTCTTTGTTCAACGTGAATTTTTTTTGAGAATAAAAAATCAAAAGAACCTAGAAAGTAAAAATTAAGACTTTGCTGATGGAATTAAATGTACAGATCTGGTGATAATATTAGTATCTAATACTTAGATAGCAGTTACCACATTCCTGGCCGTTTAACACTTTACATACATTAACTCCTCAATCTTCACAACCCTTCCCAGTAGATCCTGTTATCCCTCCATTTGCAGATGCAGAGTTTTGCCCAAATTGATTGAGCTGAAAAGTGATTAGCACTCTGGCTCTAGAGTCTGTGCCTTTACCACTATGGCATCTTGCTTCTTTCTGATTCCATGGGCTCAAAGGGGGGGATATTGGAAAAGGTTGTTGATTAGATAAAACAGTAGATTTCTAAATCATATCTGTAAGCATGCCTGTCACCATTAAGCTCTTGCAGCAGGAGCAGTGTGCCTCGGTTGTTTTCCGTGTATTTTAAGCAGCCAAATTCTTCAAGTTATGGAAAACCACTTTAAAAAAACATAAAACCTGAGTTCCTCTGTAGGAGGAAGTAGCTCTGAGACATCTCCAGAGAATCCCTAGGACTTTGCCGAGCACAGTTTAGAAACCAGTCTGCATGCTAGGATGTATGAGTGGGCTCCTTTGTGATAGCCTGGCTTAAAGGACTCTTCATGAGTCTTGTAAAATAAGGTGGTAAAAGTTAACCTCTATGTCTACATTATCACGATATGTGACCTGTGGAATTGTGGCATTGGCCATGTGTCCCACATACCCTTTTGTGCATGTTTTGTCCCTTTTTATATGATTCCTTCCCTTCGAAGTCCTTTTCATTTGCCTTGTACACACTGCTTCTCTAGTCTCCTCTCCTCAGAATAGGAACGAATTCAAAATCGTTCTTTGTCCTGGTCTTCCATATCTCAAGTCTCCATTTCTGTATCCTTTTCTGCTTTTGTTATTAGAGAAAAACCTGCCTCCTCTTCCCCCGTTGCTAGTGGGAATGGGGTTCATGAGGCACCGCTGGAATAAGCATTTTCAGAGGCCTCCACAGGAGAATGAGATGTGTTAGAAAGCTTTATTTCTGTGCAGTTATACACTTGGGTCTCCAAAGTCCTATTTCCCTTAGTCCAGTCATAAAAGGAGTATAACCAGGGCTTCAGTAGAGCTAAAATCAGAACCAGTGTTCAGGGCTTTCATTCCATGTTGTAGTCAGGTCCAGTTCAGCATCAGACTAGTTGCAGTCCATTAGTCCATTGTGTTAGGGGTCCACATGGCTGTGGGCCACACGGGAGAATGGCAGAAAGCCAGGCAATGAGCGATGAGCCGAGCATGCCAAGAGGAACCAAGAGCATAAGAGAATGGGCTTTGTTTAGGGGATTATATATCTCAAATTTCCTCACACTTGCAGTGGTCACATCCATTCTGGTCAACCATCTCTGTCCCCAGGTATGATTGACAGGCATGTACCTTCCCTGTCTTCCCATCTTTGCTGGGCAGGGTCTGTCTTTTGTTGTTGTTGTTCGATCCCTCCCCCAGTGTGTTGCAGGGAACATACCTGTAATGTCTGTCCTTCCATTGGCTCCTTTCCTATTAATTACTAGCTAATTACAGTGATATCACGTTTAGAGACTGATTTCTGAGACATGTAGGAATTACAGGTACATGTGTTGACCTGGCTTTTTTTAATGAACCAAATTCTTCAGTGCCCAGTCACAGGTCTACTTGGAAATGTTCTTCCTTATCTCTGTTTACTACCAACACAGGTCAGACTTCTGAATTGTTCTGTTTCTTTCCTCTTTTTGTTTTTATAACTATAACCCAGAGATACATTTTTAAAAAATTTTTTCTAGCACTTTTTATTACTTAATATATATTGAGATTATGATTTTTAATTAGAACATAGATAAAATGCCCAGTCATCTCTTTGCTTTGTACATATTTTTCTATTATGTAAATTTATGACCAAGAATTAATGTTAGAATGCATTTCCTTGTTAGTAGAATACAGTAAATCTAGACTTGAAGAAGTTAGCAAAAAGAAAAGATAGCTGAAAAGAGCCAGTGATTGTAATTGGCAATTTCCATTCCTGAAAATAAAGATATCTGGTTATAGTATCTTACAAAGGCTGGCCTTTTTCTTATAAGACAGATAGCTAGAGAAAAGGACCAAAAAAAAACCAAAAGGAGAATGACAAAGATTAGAGGTGGTAATGATATGTTAATCATTACCCATATTGGTCAGAGTTTTTGATTGTTGAAAACAAAATCTAGTTGCTACTTTAAATAGCAAAGGGTTTGTTAACAGAGCCTTGAACAGTTTGTAGAATTTCTGGAGGAGATAGCAAACCAAGCATTCCTTAATCAGAAAAACAAACTCAACAGAGATCTTTGTAGAGAAAATACCTCCTGTGTCTCTGTTTACTCGATGCTCATGAATGTAGAAGAATGAAAAGCCTCCAACACTTTGGTAACAGGAAGAGCTACATAGCTTCCACTTCCCATGCTTACTCTCACCATTTGTTTGCTCATTTGAGGGTGGAATCACATATAATCCTAGCTGCAGGGGAGTCTGAGAAAGGTATTCTTTGGAATTTTCAGCTTCTGATATGTAGATGGTGGTGTGAGCTGTGGGATGCACATGAATTCAGATATTGAATATTTGAATGTATATATTCTAAGAAAGCGAAGAATTGCATAGAACATTTTAGAAGACTTTACATTAACAAATATGTTGAGCCCTGGATGGGTAGCTCAGTTGGTTAGAATGTCATCCCAATACACCAAGGTTGCAGGTTCAGTTCCAGTCAGGGCATGTACAAGAAGCAACCAGTGAATGCATAAAAGTAAGTCAAAAAACAAATCAATTAATTCTCCCCCCTCTGTCTTCCTCCCTTCCACCTTCTATCTTTCTCTCCCCTTCCCCTCCTCTCTCTGTCTCACTCTCACTCTCTCTATAAAGAAATGAAAAAAATATATAGAAATATAAAAGTTCAGACAATTAAAGTAACTTTTTTAAATGACTCATTTCCCAAGAGTTCCAGACAGCTATTTATTGAGCAGAGACAGAATTAAAAATAAGGAAGAAAAGAAAGCAGAAATGTAAATAATTCCATTGTCCTCCATAGCTGGCAGCCTAATCACAAACAGAACATTACATAGATTGAAACTGACCTAATCTTTTATTGTGACATACAAATAATTATGGGGTAAACCTAAGCATAATAAAAAACATTAACCAATACTTTCAGTTAATATAACAGGAGCACAAATCAAAGATGTAACTGCAACGTTGCGATGGTAGAACACATGGTATCGTTTAATAAAAATAAGCTTAGTGAGCCAGAGTAGAGCAGGACAGGCAGAAGGCCCAGACAATCACAGAATCATTTTTGATAGGCTGGGCTGACAGACATTCAGTGCAGGCTTTTGAGCTGGTGTGTATGAAGGTGGAAGCATGATGGGAAGCAGATCTCTCTACTTAAGAACAGGCATTGCCTTTTTGTTACACTGTTCAATCTAAAGATTCTCTTTGCTACTTTCACCCCTTCCAGCTACTATACTTGAGGTTTGACTTCATCTTGGTCCCTGGACCTTGAGGGCTGTTTTCTCTAAAATCTAATAGCCCCTTGTTTCCTGCCTTTTCTTATGCAAGCAGTCCTGCAGCCCCCTTGCCTTACTGTACAGCCTGGGATTTGTCTGCCCTTGCACTGCTCAGTGCTGCTGGGCCGCCTGCAACCCATGCTGGGCCGCAAGCTGTGCCTCTCCCACTGTCCAAGAACATTCCCACATATCGCCTGCCTTCCCCAAGCCTCCTGTTCCCCTCCCATCTCAGCATCTGACTTTGCTTCCAGCTTCCCTGAAAACATAGAGCCTAATATGAATTAACTTTCTGAATATATTTCCCTTAATCTCTAAGTTTATTAAATTCATCCTTACCTCCCTCTTTTAAGTCTGAAGATGTTTCTCCTTTTGTCTGAGGGAATTACTGTGGTACAACCTACATCCTTTCCTCCAGCTTACCTAGAAATCTTGTTTTATTAATTAACTTCCCAATTTTCCTTTTTATAATTTTCTTTTTAATGTAATACTTGAAACATACAAATATATTAATGTCACTATTGTTTGATAAATTGAATAAGGAGAACATTTCAAGTGGCAAATAGATGAGACATTGAAGACTATTAAGTTAACATAACTTTAAAATATTTAATCTTGCCCTGGCCAGTTTGGCTCAGCGGTTAGAGCGTTGGCCTGCGGTCCGGAGAGACCCGGGTTCGGTTCCCGCTAAGGGCACGTACTTCGGTTGCAGTTTGTCCCCGGCCCTGCTTGGTCGTGCAGGTGGCAGCCACTCGATGTGTCCCTTCACGTCGATGTTTCTCTCTCTCTCCCTTCCTCTCTCTCCCTCCCACTCTATCTGTACAAAAAAATGGAAAAATATCCTCGGGTGAGGATAAAAAAAAAACAAAAAACAAAAAATAAAATATTTAATCTTAAGTTAATATTTTATTATATGTGCAAAAATAGCTGGCACCTGTTGATACACTGTTCTGGGACTTACTGATACAGGCACACCTTGTTTTATTGCTCTTCAGTGTATTGCGCTTCACAGATGTTGCATTATTTTTACAAACTGAAGGCAAGACCCTTCACCAGCAAAAAGATTGCAACTTGCTTTATTGTGGTCCTTACTTTATTGTGGTGGTCAGAAACCAAACCTGAATATCTCTGAGGTATGCCTGTGTAACCTTCATAACCTATTACTCCCCTATTTTATAAATGATAGAACTGGGATTCAAAGAGGTTAATTTACTTAAGTGTATGCAGTGAACATAGCTGAGATACGAAACCAAGTCTGTCTTTGCTCTTAGTCATTCTTTGATGTTAACTCAAAGTTGCTGAGATTTCTGACTAAAGGCCAGTGTGTGCTAAACAGTTTCATGAAATTTCAAAGGGATAAAGAAGGAACGTATACACAGATGAGGCTTTTGAAAGAGATTAGATAACTAAATCAAAATCATAGGATCCAAAATAATTATGACATAATGAAAGAGGTTGGTTGAAGTATAAGAAACCAAAGGGAGTCATGTTCTTGCTAGTCCAGAAGCCAGAGGGGTGATAGCTTGAAAGTCAGGGGTAGGTCTAAGTAGTTGTTTCACTGTCTTCAGTTTTTCATATGTCTTATGTGTTCAGATTTGTGTTCTAATTCTTTCATAGCCTTACACCTGAAATTGTCAGTACACCTTCCTCCCCAGAAGAGGAGGATAAGTCAATACTTAATGCAGATGTTCTTATTGATGATTCAGTGCCAACAACAAAAATTCAAATCAGACTGGCAGATGGAAGTCGTTTGATACAAAGATTCAATAGTACACACAGGTAAGCTTTTGGTGGTTCTCACACACATGGTTACCTTTCTATGTAAAACTATATGTGACTCGAGTAATGAAGAATATGACATTCTTTAGATTTTCAGTAAGTTTTTGACAAAAGAAGAAAAATTTTAAAAGGGTAATAGCTGTGTGTAAGAAGTGAAATACTCGGTAATTAAATATCCTTTGTAAACTGTCCAACTACTAATGCAAATCCAGATATTACTAAAAAAAAAAAAATTGTTAAACGCTGTAGTTTTGCACTGTTGCTAAAACCATGTGAAGTGGAATCATTTAATTTAATGTAGTAAAACCTTATTTGAACTTTACTCATATAAAAATTTATGATAATACTGATTGGGACTAACGTTTACATAGCAAATTCTTCATAATATTATGTAGTGTAAAGTTTAATTGTGCTGTTGTCAAGTAATTCAAACAAACCGTTTTAAATGCCATTTTAACATTCACTTATACATCAACATTTGTGCTACTAAGATATTATTTTTGTTTATTGTATCCCTCTGAGGGATTAATTTATATGTTAGTTGAATTACTATGTATATCTGAAAGGAATTTGTTTTTACTTTAAATCATTTTTTATTTTTCAATTATAGTTGACATGCAATATTATATTAGTTTCAGGTGTACAACCCAGTGATTAGACATTATATAACTTAATAAGTGATCACACTGATAAATCTTGTACCCAGCTGACACTATACATAATTATTGGAATATTATTAACTGTATTCTCTATGCAGTACTTTATATCCCCGTGACTATTCTGTAACAATTTGTACTTCTTAATCCCTGTACCTTTTCACCCAACCCCCCTCCCATCTGGCAACTGTCAAAATGTTCACTGCATGTATGAGTCAGTTTCTGTGCTGCTTGTTTGTTGGTTTTTTAGATTTAATTATTGATAGATATGTATTTATTGACATTTTATTCATATTATTTATTTATTTATTATTCTTAAAGAAGACTCTTTAACCTTTCATGTAATACTTATTTGGTCGTGATGAACACCTTTGGCTTTTTCTTGTTTAGGAAACTCTGTCTGACCTTCACTTCGAAATTATAGCTTTGCTGGATAGAGTAATCTTGGTTATAGGTCCTTGCTTTTCATCACTTTGAGTATTTCTTGCCACTCCCTTCTGGACTGCAAAGTGTCTGTTGAGAAACCAGCTGACAGTCTATGGGAGCTCCCTTGTAGGTCACTAACTGCTTTCCCTTGCTGCTTTTAAGATTCTTTAACCTTTTTGCATTTTAATTATGATATGTCTTGGTGTTGGCCTCTTGGAGTTTATCTTGTTTGGGACTCTCTGCATTTCCTTCACCATGTTAGGGAAGTTTCTGGTTATTATTTTTTCAAATAGGTTTTCAATTTCTTGCTCTCTGACTTCTTCCTGCACTCCTGTGATGTGAATTTTGGTATGCTTGAAGTTGTCCCAGAGGCTCCTTACACTATCCTCACTTATTTGGATTCTTTTTTCTTTTTGATTTTCTGATTGGGTATTTTTTGCTTCTTTATATTCCAAATTGCTGATTTGATTCTTGGCTTAATCTACTCTACTATTGATTCCCTGTAAATTACTCTTCATTTCAGTTAGTGTATACTTCATTTCTGACTGGTTCTTTTTTATGATTTCCATGTCCTTTTTTATGCTTTTGAATTTTTCACCAAGTTCATCTACTTTTCTCCTAAGTTCATACAGCATCCTTATGACCAGTGTTTTGAACTCTGCATCTAGAAGATTGCTTGTCTTCATTTTGTTTAGTTCTTTTTCTGGAATTTTGTTCTGTTCTTTCATTTGGGACATATTTCTCTGTCTTGCATTTTGGCAACCTCCTTGTGTTTGTTTCGATGTATTAGGTAGAGCTGCTAGGTCTTCCAGGCTTGGTTGAGTGACCAAATGTAGTAGGTGTCCTATAGAGTCCAGTGGAATAGCCTCTCTGATGACCTGAGGTGGGCACTCCAGTTGCACCCCCCTATGTGTACACCCTCCTCTTGTGGTTGAGCCTTGATTGCTGTTGATGTCTCAATCGGGAGGGATTTACCCCCAGGCCAATAGGCTGCAAGGACTTGCTGAGACCACCAACCACCGCGGAGAATCAGCTGTGCTGGGACCCATTCCACAGAGCAGGACTTACTTAAGTGAGGCTCTGCTGTCTGCTGAATTTGCCCTTTGAGTATGTTGCTTGTGGAGGTAGTCAGGTGATGTTTCTATGTGGTCTGAGGCTGTCCACCATGTGTGCTGGCTCTGGGACCTCCTGGGAGGTACAGGCCAAGGTCACCTGCAATCTGTGTTCTGCCCCGGGGCCACTGGCAGGAGGTCCAAGCAATCTGCTGAGGACTGCTACCTGTACTGGGCTTGGAGGTGCCCAGGAGAGGCCAGGCTGTGAACCAAAGCCGCGCTGGGGCCACCTACTGAGAGGTAAAGGACATGCTGAAACCTGATGCTGCTTGTTTTAGAGATTTTAGGAATCTGAAACATGAGCCAAGACAGGCTGTTTGTATGGAAAAGCCACTGGAAACAGCTTGGGTGGGCCTGCAAATTGGTTGGGGTAGGTCAGGAAATCACCAGGGCAGGAGGACTAACAGTGTTAGCCAGGTTTGTGGAGTCTCAGATGTGGTACCCACCATGCCAGCTCTGTGGGGAGAAGGTTCAGAAACGGAACTGTGGCTTCTGTCTGGGAGAAGACCACCCCCCTACTCCCCCATCCACTTACCCCCTCCACCCCATGTCAGACACTTCAGTTCTTTCTGTATGTCCCTGGTACTTTCGCGCTGCTGCCCCGGTGCTGGAGCTCAGAGGAAGTGAGTCCATGTGCGAGCTCTTTAAGAGTAACTGCCTGGCCCTGGCCAGATAGTTCAGTTGGTTAGAGCCTCAACTCCGTACTCCAAGGTTGCGCAAGTTTAATCTTCAATCAGGGCACGTACATGAATCAACCAAGGAATGCACTGAATGCATAAATAAGTGGAACAACAAATTGATCTCTCCCCACACTTCCTGCCCCGTCTCTCCTTCCCCCTTCCTCTCTTTCTCTCACATCAATAAATAAAAATCAGAAAGGGAAACTGCCTGGGACTCCAGACGTCCTCTGTCTCACTCATTCACAACCCCCACTGGTTCTACAGCCAGAGTTATGGGGACTTATCTTCCGGGCACTGAAACCCTGAGCATGGGTCCTGGTGTGGGGCTGGGACCCCTTGCTCCTCAGGGTACCTCCGTAGCCGCGATATCCCTCCTAGTTCCTATCCGCCACACTTGGGTAAGGGACCAGCCTATTCTGTGTCTTCACCTCTCCTACCAGTCTCAGTGTGGCTGCTTCTTTATATCCTTGGTCGTAGGTCTTCTGCTCAGCTCGATTTCAGACGGTCCTGAATGATAGTTGTTCTGTAGTTGTAATTTTGATGTGGTTGTGGGAGAATGCGATACAGCGTTTACTGACACCACCATCTTGACCAGGAAGCCCTATATGAAATCAATTTTTAAAAATTATGAGTTACACTTTTCATAGTTTCACACTCTGACACAGGTCAAGTTGAGGTACCTTTTCTGGGGTTGTGTGCTGCTAAAATATTATATACTCTGAGAAAAGCAGGGCCTGCACTTTCTTTGTAATAACATAGTTGGCATTTATCTTGTGCATAACTCATCTGAAAGTCGTCTCTGTGTTAAAAGTAAATACTAGGTACACTCCAAAGTTAATCCTCACATTTTATCTTAAAGCTAAGATAAATCCATTCATTGAAATAGTGTAAATTAAAGAAAGCTACTACACATTTAAATAAGAATTAGAGTTGTGTGATTTTTATTATCTAATTTTAGTTAAAAGCTTACATGGCAATAAAAAATCTGTATTACAAATTTTTTTATCTTATTTCTCAGCATCCTGGATATTCGAGACTTCATTGTACAGTCCCGCCCTGAATTTGCAACTATTGACTTTATTCTTGTGACTTCATTTCCAAACAAAGCGCTGACAGATGAAAGCCTGACACTACAAGAAGCAGGTATTCTTAACACTGTGCTTCTCCAGCAACTGAAATAGTGCTGCTCCTGTTCATGCAGTCGCGTGTAGGAGAGAAAACGTGCCATATCAACAAGGAAAACGTGCTTCTAAAAATACCAAATTGTTTTTATTATTTATATGGGGACATTTTAGTTTTATTCTTATTCTGTCCTCCAGCCTGTGTAGATGGATTTGGACTAGGAGTAGATCTTGAGATAAATATGTTTGAGTTTTTACTTGTAGGGCTATCTTATATTGATAGCTTTTAAATATCCAGACAAATCAATGTGCTACATGGTCAGACTTAATGCAACAACATTTGTTGGCAGAGAAAATGAATAAAACCCCATTTTGATAAATTTGGTAAAATTTGCAGTAAAGTTTCTTGATGCTGCATTGATCGAGAGCCATTAAGGAATCTTTTGATCAAATATTTTGAAAATGTATTTGTAATATATACTAAAGAGTGTCTGTATTCCGATTTTGAAATGCTTTGATCATGCAATGAGTATTTCTTCTATTAAGATACTATATATCCTTTTTACTTACTATTTAGCTATATTTTTGTGTCAAAAAATACAGTTCAGCCTTGCATTTTATGGAACTGTGAACATCATGAACTTGAAACAAACATAAAGGTCAGCAATTCTTGACAGTGGTAAACAGCACTTTAACATAGAGGAATTACAGCCTGGCCGGTGTGGCTCAGGGATTGAGTGTCGACCCATGCACCAGGAGGCCTCCGGTTCGATTCCTGGTTGGGCACAAGCCCAGGTTGTGGGCCTGGTCCCCAGGGGAGGGCATGCAGGAGCCGGTGTTCTCTCTCATCGATGTTTCTGTGTCTCTCTCCCTCTCCCTTCCTCTCTCTCTAAAATCAATAAAGAAAACAAGAAAATTAAAAAATAAATAAATAATAAATACAATAGAGGAATTATAATCCTTCCCAGAACCTGCCTTGATCACATTTATTCATTCAACACATTTTTCTAGGGGGCCCACTATAGATACCAAACACTGTTCTAAGTATCAAAACCGGAATGTGTTCTACTCCAGGACAGAACAGGTGTGGAATACAGGAATGTCGGTTCTGTCAGGCCGACTGGATCTAAAGAATGACCAGCGGAAACGGCTGCGTTTCTGCCGAAGCCAGGTATTCCCTGAGTGAAGTGGGCACATCAGGAACGACAGAAAAGCTGCTTCTTCTTCCCAGACACCACTTCATCTTAGTCACCACTCCTGCTTAGTTTTCTGTTGCTGCTCTAACAAATCACTACAAACTTAGTGGCTCATAACAGCAAAAATTTATTATCTTCTAATTCTATAGCCTAAACAAGTCTGACTGGGCTAAAGTCAGGTGTTGACAGAACTGCATTCCTTTGGGCAGACTCTGGGAGAAGCATTTCCTGGCCTTTTCAGCTTCTAGGGGCCACTTGCATTCCTTGGCCTATGGCCCTCTGTTCACATCTTCAAAGCCAGCAACAGTGTATCTTTTTTACCGCTCTCTGTCATCACATTTCTGTGACAACAGCCAGGAACGGTTCTCTGCTTTCAAGGGTTCATGTGATGAGATTGGGTCCTCTGGGTAATCCAGAATTACCTCCCCATCACCAGGTCCACAGTACCTTAACCACATCTTTGAAGTCCCTTTTGCCATGTAAAGTAACATTTCACAGGTTCCTTCTGGAGGTTCCAGTGGTGAGTCTGTTCTTTTCCTCTTCCAGCTTGCAGAGGCTGTTGGCATCCCCTCGCTCACGGCTGTATCCCTCCCATCTCTGCGTCGTTCTTACCTCCTCTGCTACCAGCCCGAATTCTGCTTTTCTCTTGTAAGGATGCTAGTGATTACATGTAGTTTACCTAGATAATCCAAGATAATCTTGTCTCAAAATGCTTAAGATCTGCAAACTGCAGATTTGGGGATTAGAATATGAGCAATTTGGGGGGGGTCATTTGATCTACCACAGTTTATAAAGTCACCCCATCTAGAGGTGCTCAAAAGTCTCAAACTATTACAGCGTCAACTTCAAATGAAATATCTGAATCTCATCTGGTCAAAAATCCCAAATCTCATTTAAATCATCTAATTCAGGTGTGCATGAGGATCTGGGTATGATTCCTGAAACACAGTTTCTCTCTTCTCCCACAAATGAAGGCAGGACAGGCATAGAATAACAGTCACAGAAATTCCTATTCAAAAACTCAGAAAATGGCATGAAAAAAGGAGCCACCAGTGCTAAGCAATTTAGAAATTCAGCCAGGCACACTCCATTCGGTGTCAAGGCCTGAGCACCGTCTTCGGTGGCTGACAGCACCGTCCTCTCGGAGTCCTCTTACCTTTTTCCTGAAGGGTCGCACGTGCTTGCAGCTGAGGAGTCCTTCAACTTGTTTCTTGCCTGTGGAATTCTGGGAGGTCTGATCATCTTTTATTTCACACTCTCTCTATACCTTTTAGTTTAAGATGGCAGTGTCTTCATACAACATTCTCAAAAAATGTGGATCTCTTTGGTATGTTGTGGGGATTCACTATAGACCAGAGGCTCCCCACATATTTTTCCTAGATAATCCCATCTCTTTCTGACTTTTTCTGAGATGGATCAGAGGACCTATAAGTCACACCCCTCATCTCTTCAGAGGACCTTTTGTATGACTAAATATTCTGCCCTTTTTTACTCTTCTTGGGTATTAGCAAAAGTTGTCCAGCTACCCCTTGATCTCTTTCCTTAGAGCAGGCTTTTCTGAATCTCTTAATTTGAATGTCATTTGCCATTTGGGTGGGCTGAGAATTTCGAAGTCATCAAGTCCTGTTTTCTTTATTTAACAGTTCTTTCCTCAATTTATCTATTCTCCCTCACGTTTTACTATAATCCGCAGGAAGGAAGTAGGCCACACCCTTCACACTTTGCATAGAAATCTCTTTAACTATATATATTAAGTTTATCTCTTACAACTACTTTCCACGGAACTGCAGCACAGTTCAGCTAAGATTTTGCTGGTATGTAACTATAATCTCTTTTCCTTTAGTTTCCAACAGCGTGTTCCTCATTTCCTTCGGAGCCCTCACTGGCAGCACCTTTAATGTCTTATTTCTCAGACAGTTGTGTTCTCCGTAGCAGCTGACCTGTTCTCAGCCATGCTCCTTACCTCCTTTGAGCCCTCACTAGCATCCATCCATCCATCTACTCAAAGTGTTCAAGGCAGTCTTGGCTTTTTCTGTCATGCTCCTAAAATTTCCTTCAACTCACTGCCCAGTTTCAAAGCCACTCCTGTACTTCTGCGTATCTGCTGTGGCGGCACCTCACTCCCGGGGCCTGGACACCTGTTCTCTGCCTACGCGCTGCCAGCTGATGCGATGTGCCGTAGGCGATGTGGAATTCATGCTTCTCAGGGGACTCTGCTTCTTTCGAGGGTTTTGATACTGGGAGTGCTACCAGAAATTCCATACAGAGGACTCCTGATCCTGCTGCCACAAAGAAAACTTCTTCTGAGTGCCATACACAGTAAGATTATTCCTAAGTCTACCCCTCAGAATAGGAAGCCCTGTTTCTTTCCACTCGTTGAAACATCTTGGGCAATATGTAAATAATAGTTCAAAAAGTCAATCTCAGTTCAGAAAGATCACCAGGGATACACTACATTTTCTCAGGAGCAAAGTCATCTTTCTAAGGAAGTAATCTATTGAAAAAAATGAGCATTTAAAATAAAAGGGCATTGCCCTGTTTCGGATTAACAAAATGGGGGGTGGAAGGGGATTAGCCAAACCCTGTAAAATTATTGGAAGTTTGATTCTCATAATTTCTTTTTATCAATTATTTAGAGTGCCTAGCTCATATGAAACAGCTACCATTTTTGTATATAGTCGTCTTCCAAAATATATTTATATTAGCATCCAGAATTAAGCATCTAGAAGGGATGAACAAGACTTTTACATAAACTACATAGTATTTTGCGTCATTTAGAGTCATTTTCCTGATTTTTCTTTTACTACTGCATTCATTGTAACTTTTAAAATCTATAATCAACTCGAAGAATAATGTGTCAACAAGGAGCAGATGAACAACCATGTGTGAAGTCAGTTGTCTTGCATGATGTATGTAATCAAATGTTTTTAAGTGTCTGCTTACCAATAAAGAATGTTTGCACTGAAACTCATTGCAAATCCTTCTCAAAATTTCTTTGATTTGCAGTTTTATTTGAGTGGCTTAATAGAATATTTTAAGCATGAGTAACATTTCCTGTGGTACATCTTTTGATGGGCAGAGAAGAAAGTGAGTTGTAGCAGTGTTTCCTCAATTTCCCATTGTTGTTTCTGTTTTTGTTCCACCAAAATAAAGGTGCAAGTTTTTGTCAACTTTTTGCCACAGTGGATTTCTGAAAACCTTGTCACTGCATATACTGTTGAGAAAGTGCGTCATGTTTTCCCCTTGAGCTTTGGCCCCTGATCAGTGGTACAGAAAATTCAGTGGAGTAAATGTGAAGATCTGAGCGATTCATGAGTCAGCCAGCATTTCGTCTGGCGAGTAGAGAGGACCCCACAGGCTACAGCAAGGGAAAGGGTTTTAAGGGCAAGACAGGGAAGGCGTGAACAGAAAAGGTTATTTCAGGTCTAGTTAACATACCTGTGGGGACAGAAAGGCAGATTACTTCATTTTCCTGTGAACAGAAAGAGGGGTATGTAATAAACCTGACCAGCTCAGGAGGCCACATGGCAGGCTGCAAACCTGACCAAAAGTAACCTCACAGGGCGGCCTCATCACAAGTTCCTAACTGGGCCGGTCACAGCGGGTAGTCATGGCCCTGGCCTATCAATTTCTTAGCAAAGGTCAGTGTTTACCTTAAGTGAGCCCTTTCCCTTGTTCTTAAGAATCTAAGATGGCATACCTTTGAAATGTCAGACTAATTTCCTTTTATAGAATCCTCGGCACAGCCACCCACCAGAGCATGAGACCAGGAAACCTTGTTGTTACCTTGTTGCCCACATACCATCTCCATGTGCTGTAAACGTTCGGTATTAACTGTCCTGGCCCCCCCCCCCCCCCCATAGAAGAAGTATGTGTTTCTCCATCTTGCGTTTTGATCCAGTCCCTGAGCTTTCCCCACTTTGCCTCCTCCCGCCTCCTAGTGTGCCACCAGCGGATTTCATGTTTTTCCCTTTGATTTTAAAGCGTGAGTGAGACTGCAGAACTACCCTTTATTTTCTGAGGCATGTTCTCGATCTGTTGAGATCTTGCTTCCAGACATGTCCTCAAACTTTGGCTCAAATAAACTGTTATAAAACTTTTCTGTAGGTTTGAACGTTCTTTCACCTCTGTTCCTTTGAGGGATTACAAGGCCCGTGTGGCAGATTCCCTTGTTGATGACGACCAAGACACTTCACACTGAGCAGTTCCGACGACACTGGGCAGTGCGGAACTGCAGTCAGCTTAGGTGTTGA